TTTGCCTCAAGGGGAATTTATACGGATGGTGGTGACACTCTGGGCAGTTTGGCGAGCAAGAAGGAGAGCAATACATGAAGAGATTTTTGATAGCCCTTTTACTACTAACTCTTTCATACTCTCCTTTTTGAGGGACTTGAAGATGATCGACAGAGGAGCTGGCAATGCTACAAAGCAAGCTAGCTTGGGGCAACACTCATGGTTGCCTCCGCCGGAGGGGCATGCAAAGATGAATGTGGATGCAGTAGTGTCCTTGCAAGGGGAGTTTGGAGCAGTGGGAGCAGTGTGCCGAGACCAACAAGGACGCTTTTTGGGTGCTTCGATCTTAAAACTTGAGTTCATCACGGATGTAAGCACACTAGAGGCAATAGCAGTAAGGGAAGGCCAATCGTTGGCCGAGGATCTATATGAGAACTCCATTCAAATAGCAACAGATTGCAAGAGGGTGGTTGAAGATGTCCAGAAAAACTCGGCGGCTGGTTACGGCGCCATTGTGCATGAAATAATACTTCGTGCAAACGCTTTCTCTTCATGTAAAGTAGTTCATGAGTTCAGGAGCTCGAATTTCGAGGCTCACAATCTCGCTAGATATGCTTTGTCTTTAAATTTTGGTCATCATGTATGGCTAGGTCAACCAGGAAACCTTGAGTTTATTCCTGTAAACATTATGGGCTATGAATAAAAGCATGCGAGATTGTCTAAAAAAAAAGATGAAGACATAATAATTTACTACCACCTCTGATAGGAAAAAAATATTTTTTGCGGTGAACGGATGAAAAAATTGGCGAAACGCATATTGCTTTATTAGTAGGTAGGTATATTGATCATCACCTTTGTCTGCACGTGAAAAATGAACATTTAGCTTCTCGGTTTCACCGGTGTGAAGTAATCAATCTGCCATATTTTTATTTGTTAATCGAGGACATTTAAGAGTTTCGTTACTTCATCGTACGCCAAAGAACGCCCACGAATTATTCAATCTACTTTTTCTTTCAATCGAGGAGATTTTAAGGTATGAATTTTCTGAATATTGTAGAACACATAAAGCATTTTTTAAATGCTGAACAGGTTTCTGAAAATTACATACACTTTCAGCAAAACGCGAACAATATTTGAAACATGAACATCTTTTCCAATTCACGAATATTTTTTAAAAACACCTTCTAAAAAACATGGACATTATTTGAATTTTTGAACATTTTTTTATAATGGAAACATGTGTTAAAAATTCATAACATTTTTCGAAAATCTTTATCTTTTATACGGGAACATTATTCTGAATTCTGAAATTTCACTAAACCAAGAATATATTTTGAATTGGAGCACCTTTGATAATGCTATTTAGTTTTTAGAAATCTCGAACTATTTTGAAAAACAATATTTTTTTACAAAAAAGGGGGTACTTTTTTTCAAGGTCTGAATATTTTTCAAAATAGCAACAAAAATTTGGAATTCTGAACATTTTTCGTTTTTTTAGTTCTGAATGTTTTTTGGGATTTTTGAATTTATGAAATAGATTATGAAAGAAAATAAACTTGGAAGGGTAGAAAGAGATAGGGGAAGGAGAAAAAAAAAGAATTAAAGCACAGAAACAAAGAGAAATGGGCCAGCCCATTAGTGGTTGTCCTATGCGAAGCTCTGACTATTTCTGGCCCTGTGCAAAAAATAGAATTTTTCTAGCTGCGTGGGCAGAAAAATAAATGGGCTGGCTTCCCCGGGCCACAACGCGCGACCCACGTACGAAATTCTGGAAAAACATTTTTTTCTAGCAGACGAACGCATAAGAATTTAGTACCGCCTCGAATAAAAAAAAATCAGCGCTGAAAGGATGAAAAAATTGCCGAAACGCAGCTTGCTTTATTAGTAGGTATAGATAACTACTAAAGTATATATCTTTCTTTGATAAATGTTGTTTGTACAGGGTTACAGTTCTTTCGGTTGAAATAATAACCCTATTATTAATAACCTTGGTTATCAACTTAAAAATGACATCACTCAGACATAGAACCGTACATCTTACGAGCATCTACATCCGAACTTAGTAAATTCGAACCCTCAAACGCCCGCAGCCGCGAATAGTGACCGGGCGTCAAATAATTCATTCCACAACTAGGTACCTCAAATTCATACTATTACATGCAACATAAACCTAATATTTGGCGGGGCTCGTCTGGCTGCGCCTTGCCCATACCCAACGGCCGGATGCAATCCTCAGAGTGTTGGTTCGGTCGACGACGAGGTAGAGTAGGACATGGGGCACAAGCCGGCTCATGAGACTCAAGGTGTCGCCGTCTTCTATGCCCTACTCTTCCTCGTCAGAGCCCCGAACTCTGATGGTGCTGGTAGATGTCAGATCGATAATGGATCCGTGTTGTGACGAGCCGACGACATCCATCATGACGCGGTTGCGGCCCCAGGACTTGTGCATCATATGGGGCGCCGGAAAATGAGACTCCGCCTCAGCAACGTCCACCACCGCGAGGGTTGCCGCCGTCTCCCGCACCCGCTGCCACGATTGCATCACCCTGCATCCATGGTGCGTTCACCTCCGCCTCGGCGTGCCAACGGAGGGATTGCGCGTCCGCCACCATGTTCAGATGCCACACGAACTGCACCACCTCCAATGAGGCAGCGATGCCACACCTCGCGGCGGATCCATGCATCATTTGGGTGGACGCAATGAATTCCCTGCAAAAGGAGTCTGGGCGCTGTTGTCGGGTGGCCTCCTCCCAAAAGCGGTGGAGCGTAAGCCAGACAGTCATGTCCTCCTCGGGACCACATGGGTGAGCTCGGGGTTGATTAATATGAAGGTGTAGGACTCGAATTCGCTGCCCACCATGCCAGAGATCGCCGGACAGAGCGGAGTGTAGTGGAGGGGACGGAGTGGAGTGGCTAGGGTTTGATCCAAGGAGTGGATGAGGATGACTATATGTGGGATCGGGTGGGCCGGGTCCGACATGAAGGACGCGCCCGGGCCTCCTCCCACCAACGTTGGTCGGGTCCGATCTCCCCATATCCGCTTCATATTTAGACTGTGCCGGGTCTGACCTCCCCATATGTGCTTCAATTTAGACTGGATATTAGGGGTTTAAGATCGGCTTGAGGCATCCGTCATTTTTTTGTCCAATCGGGCGTATGGGTAGGTTGTTGTTTTTTGACCGATCAGACTGGACCATGCAGGTATTGGGCGCCCGGCTGTTCTAAGAGCATCTTTAATAGGCGCCTAAAAAATACCTCATGCGTTAAAAACCATCGTTTTTATGCGTCAGAGACCTAAAAAATACCTCACGCGTTAAAAACCATTGTTTTTATGCGTCGGAGACAAAAACATTCCTCAGACAGTTGTTAAAACAGAGCCGCTGCACTAAGAAACTTTACCGCACGTGCTGCTAGGATGCAAATTTAGGGTGTCGGATAGGTTAGGCCGCCGGATTGGGCGCCGTTTTTGTGCTAGCGCTGCTGCCTAATTGGCGACGATGTTTTTTCATCCGAAAAATCTCTTCGCCGCTTCCGCCTAGGGCTGGAAAATAAATTCGAAGCTCGCGAGCTAAACAAGTAGCTCGTGACTCGACTCGAATCGACCCGAACTCGAAGAATAACGAGTCGAGCCGAGTTTTATTTTAAGATCGTTTATGGACCAAGTTAAACGAGTCAATCTCACGAGTACTCGTGTAACTCATTAAGCTCGATACAGTAGATCAGCCACTCCTAATACAAAGAAAGATCAGCCACTAAACAGCCTATGTCCCAGGCGCACAACCCAAGGCCGAGCAGTTGAAGGCCTAGCCTCCTAGGAGACTTACGCGTTACAAAAAGATTACAATTGTTTAGTGATATATATGTTTAATATATACGTAATCATTTTTTATCATATTTAAAGGCTTTATGTTTATATCTTAAATGAGCTTAACAAGTTAAACGAGCCAGCTCGCGAGTTATACAAGTCGAGCTAATCTTGGGTTTGAGCTCGTTATAGTAACAAATCGAGTCGAGTTTGCTCGTTAACGAAACGAGCTCTAGCGAGTCTACAAGTCGAGCTAATCTTGGGTTTGAGCTCGTTATAGTAACGAGTCAAGTCGAGCTTGCTCGTTAACGAAATGAGCTCTAGCGAGTCGAGCCGAGCTGGCTTGACTCGGCCCGAATTCCAGCCCTACTCCCGCCCCAAAATTTGGTGCCGCGGATTGGGCGTCATATTTTTATGCATTTGTGTATCTAGTAAACCTCTTTGTGCATCTAGAAAACCTCACGCGAAAATAGTCCTCACGCGAAAAAGACTATTTTGACGCTGTACAAGAATTATATAGCGCCTGTGGGAGGGGGCTCAGATCAAAGCCCCGGGTGGTGCCCGAATGTGGCCAACTAGTGATACTAAGCTAGTACACCGGCACGACGATTAAATGATTTCAGATTTACAGAATGACCAGGCACAGTAGTACGTACTCCATCCGTACACATTTTAGATGTTTTGGACACTGAAATGAGCACATATGATAATGGACAAGTCTGACATATATAGTCTGTGCATGCATGGCTATATGTTTGTTCACGTGTCTAGCAAGTTCGTGCGTCGGTAGCCAGCCACTCACATAACAAATTACGGACTCAATTTGCTACAACACACACAACATGCATACAACCATAAACCATTAGATCGAAAAATGTAAACCTGCTTAATTGAACTTGCAACTAATTTACTCGTGGTCATCTCATCTAGCACCAACTGAACCATGCACACAATACATGACCAACAGAAATATACATGACCAACAGTTTAAGTTGAACCTTAAGCGCTAGCGCCACTACATCAACATTCAACAGTAACTAGTAATTAACCAACTAACTAGACTACATCATCGATCAGCCACCAACTTAAACTACTACCGCATTGCAAAAGTCCAGACCGAACCATGCCACGGAAACACAACTAAACCGAACTGACTACTACCAGCATGCACCCTCTGCTTCTGACCGACGGGTGGATCTTTGAGATGTTTGGGCCTTCAGGACATGTACATGGTGACGGCCTTGGTGCCCTCGGAGATGGCGTGCTTGGCGAGCTCGCCGGGGAGCACCAGCCGCACCGCGTTCTGCACGTCGCGGGAGGTGAGCGTGGCCCGCCCGGCGTACTGCGCCAGCCGCGACGCCTCCGTCGCCAGCCGCTCGAACATGTCCGCCATCATCATGTCCAGCGCCTGCATCGTCTTCCCCGACGCGCCCAGGTCCGGGTGCACCTGCTTCAGCACCCGGTACACGTACGCCTTGTACCCCATGTCGACGTTGTTCCCTCCCAGACGACGACGACGGCGCCCGCCTTTTCCTTTGCCCGCCGCCGCGGACAGCTTCTTCCTCGCCGTGGCCTCCGCCTTGCGCGTCTTGGCCTTGCCCTCGGTCCTGGACCTCTTCTGCGTCGGCGTCTCGGGGCCCTCCGGCTTATTAGGCTCAGCGCCGTCGTCCTCCTCTGCAGGCCTCTTCTTGGTGGTCTCGTCCTGGTACGCGTAGGGGTTCTCCTGCGTCTCCTGGCTCTGCAGCGACGCCGGCGTCTTGCCGCCACCTTTCTTGCGCTGCTGCTGCTGCTCCTCCGCCGGCTGGGCCTCCTGCTCCTGTGGTGACGGCGAGACCGGCACCACCAGCGGCCCGGCCGGCGGCTTGGCGTTGGCGGCGCCCCTCTTGGAGGCGGGCTGCTTCTTGGCGCCGTGGGTGGGCTGGGCGTCGGGGGTGGTGACGACCTCGACGTGGACGTCGCGGGAGCGGGAGACGTCGACGACCTCCGGCTGCTGCAGGTCCTCCTCCTGGGCGGCGGAGTCGGGCTGGGACTGGGACTGGGAGGCGGGGAGGATGGTGGTGGCGACCTCCACGGTCTCCTCCACCACCTTGGTCTTCACCACGGAGCTCACCACCTTGCTGCCGCGGCGCTTGGGAGCCATCTCGCTACTACTACTGCTCTGCTGGTGAGTGGACTGAGAGTGAAGTGGCTTGCACAAGTGTGTTGGGTGGAGTGAGCTTCGCAGCTGGCCGGAGCTGGTGTACTTATGGAGGGAGGCCGGAGGGGCACGTGTAGGGTGGTCGGACACGCGGCAGGGGTGAGGCCGGCGACGTGGTAACACGCGGAGGCGGTAAGAAACTGTCCAGAACACTCACTGTGGTACTACAGTGAGCGGTTTTCCACCACCTTGGGCTCCGTGTGTGGCCGCTGTCTCAATGCCATTGCATTGCATGGCATGCACGGTGGCCTCTTTCTGGAACTTGCTTGCAGCTTCCTTCCTTTTGGTTGGAACGCGCGAGAGCAATTCAAATTTCGGCTGTTTGAATTAATAATTTTCATTTATTTTGGCTCTTCCAGACTAGTCTTCGCCGTCAGGTAGAGTATTGACTGTCTGTAACGCCATGGCCATGCAAGCTCTGGACGCGTTACGCCGCCCACTCCCACCTCGTCCGCCACCGTCGTCTTGCCGCCGGGAGCCGACTACTTTCCACCCCGCGCCCCCCACCGCACAGCCGCTCCCGACCAAGAAGCCGCCTCGCCGTCCGGCCAGATCCTCACCGGCATGCTCGTCGGAAGCCAGAACGCTCGTCGGACGCCGGCAGGACAGCTAGCTGGTTCGTGTGCGCCGCAACTCCCTTCGTCGGCCGTCTCCTTCGCCAACGTCCGCAAGCTGTTTGACAGTTTGCCAAGGTACAAAATGGACTCCGCCGACGAGTTTTTCTTTCACAATTTCCTTTGCGACTCCGACGATTCATCCTCCGATGACGAGGAGGAGATATTGGCTGCCGTGTTGGTCCATCACCACCTCATTCCGGGCCACCTTCTGCCGTTGAATCGCAACCGAGAGAGCGGATATTTCCTTCTTTGGAAGGACTACTTTGATACAACAAACCCATTGTTCAAACATCAGGAATTCCGCCGCCATTTTCGTATGTGTAGGCATGTTTTCAACCGTATTAGAGAGGGGGTGGTCGTCTATGATGACTATTTCGAGTGCAAAGAGGATGCCGTTGGCAAGATTGGTTTTTCCTCTTATCAGAAATACACTGCCGTCATCTGAATGCTTGCATACGGAGTGCCCAGTGATTGGAAAACTCACGTGCAACTGCAAAATGATTTGGTTGAGCATACGTGAGCTCATGTTGGCAACCGATAGATGTACCTTTTTTATTCGTTTGTAAAACTATGTGAGAGCTATGTGAGACCTTTTTATTTTCATTTGGCTTGTAATAAACTATGCTATTTTATTCGGTCCAAAATGATTTTATTTTGAACTATGCAATTATGCAAAAAAGGGGGCCAGACAGCCATGCTGACACATATGGGTCGACGCGTTGGGGGTCCTGCCGATCCATATCTAAAACAGGACGGACGCCGGGCGGGTGGCCGATCAAAACAGACAAAAAACGGACGAAATCGCCGTCCATTTGGGTCGCCCCATTGGAGTTGCTCTAATGGATCCTAGCTACGCGTAAGTTTCATAATAAGGAATTGATTGTCGTTCATCAATAATCCTAGGTTTGCCCAATTCTGGGCTCTTTAATGGACTATTACTCACTGTTTTGGGGTCCCAAATTAATTTCCATGGTTGTCGAACCCCAAGGTGTGCTTACGTGTTGGTCGTTAAGACTCACAGTTTGGGCCAATTCTGGCCCGTTTCTTGGACTATTACTCAGTTTTGGAGTCCCGAAGTGATTTCCACGATTGACGAACCCCGGTGTGCGTTTACGTGTCGATCATCAACACACACGATTTTGGCCGAATCGTGTCCGTTCGAGCACCATTACTCATCATTTTGGGGTGCCAGAGCGATTTCCACGATTGATGATACCCGAGGTGCGTTTACGTGTCGGTCATCAACACTCACGATTTTGTCCGATTCTGTCCCGTTTTGTGGACTATTATATACTATTTTTGGGATCCTGAAACAATTTTCATAGTTGTTGAACCCCAAGTTGCACTTACGTGTCGGTCATCACCACTCACAGTTTTGGCCGATTCTGACCCGTTTCATGGATTATTACTCACTATTTTGGAGTCCCGGATTATTGTCCATGATTAATGAACCTCGGGGTGCGTTTACGTCTCGGTCATCAACACTCACACTTTTGGCTAATTCTGGCCCGTTTCGTGGACTATTACTCACTGTTTTGGGGTCCCGAAGTGATTTCCATGATTAACGAACCCCGGGGTGCGTATACGTGTCGGTCATCAACACTCGCGGTTCTTGTCGATTCTGACCCGTTACTTGGACTATTACTCACCGTTTTGGGGTCTCAAAGCGATTTCCATGGTTGTTGAACCCCAAGGTGCGCTTACGTGTCGATCATAAACAATCATAATTTTGGCTGATTCTTTCCCGTTAAATGGACTATTAATCACTGATTTGGGGTCCCTGAGCGATTTCAATGATTGACGAACCCCGGGATGTGTTTACGTATCGTTCATTAATAACCCTAGGTTTATCCGATTTTGGCTCTTTCATGGACTATTAATAACCGTTTGGGGTCCCAAAATGATTTCCATGGTTGTCGAAACCCAAGGTATGCTTATGTGTTGGTCGTCAAGACTCGTAGTTTGGGCCGATTCTGGCCGTTTCATGAATTATTACTCAGTTTTGGGGACCCAAAGTGATTTCCACGATTGACAAACCCCGGTGTGCCTTTACATATCGGTCATGAACACTCACAATTTTTGCCGATTCTGGTCCATTTTGAGCACTATTACTCATCGTTTTGGGCTGCCAGAGCGATTTCCACGATTGACGATCCCCGGGATGCATTTACGTGTACGTCGTCAACACTCAAAGTTTTGGCCAATTCTAACCCGTTTCATGGACTTATCGTTTTGGGCCCCCAAGCGATTTCCATAGTTGTTGAACCCCAAGTTGCGCTTACGTGTTGGTCATCAATAATCACAGTTTTGGCCGATTCTGGCCCGTTTCATATACTATTACTAACTATTTTCAGGTCCCGGAGTGATTTCTACGATTAACGAACCCCGGGGTGCATTTATTTGTTGGTCATGAACACTCACAGTTTTTTTGATTCTGGCCCGTTTCGTGGACTACTACTCACAGTTTTGGGGTCCCGGAGTGATTTCCATGATTAACGAACCCCGGGGTGCGTTTACATGTCAGTTATCAGCACTTGCAATTTTTGTCGATTCTGACCCGTTTCATGGACTATTACTCACCGTTTTGGGGCCCCAAAGAGATTTCCATGATTGTTGAACCCCAAGGTACGCTTATGTGTCGGCCATTAACAAACACAGTTCTCGCCGATTCTGGCCCGTTTCATGGAATAATACTCACTGATTTGGGGTCCCTCAGCGATTTCCATGATTGAAGAATCCCAGGTGCGTTTTTGTACTGTTCATCAATAATCCTAGGTTTGTCTGATTCTGGGCTCTTTAATGGACTATTACTCACCGTTTTGGGGTCCCAAAGCAATTTCCATGGTGTTCGAACCCCAGGGTGTGCTTACGTGTTGGTCGTCAAGACTCGCAGTTTGGGCCGATTCTGGCCCGTTAGTTGGACTATTACTCAGTTTTGGGGTCCCAAAGTGATTTCCACGATTAGGAACCCTGGGGTGCGTTCACGTGTCGGTCACCAAGCTCACGGTTTTGGATGAATCATGTCCGTTTCGGGCACTATTACTCATCGTTTTGGGGTGCCAGAGCGCTTTCCATGATTGACGATACCCAGGGTGCGTTTATGCGTCGGTCATCAACACTCACAGTTCTGGCCAATTTTGACCCGTTTCGTGGACTATTACTTACCGTTTTGGGGTCCCAGACTGATTTCCACGATTAACGAACCCTGAGGTGCGTTTACGTGTCGGCCATCAACAATCACTGTTTTGGCCGATTCTAGCCCATTTCATGGACTACCACTCACCGTTTTGGGGTCCCAAAGCGATTTCCATGGTTGTCGAACCCCAACGTGCGCTTACGTGGCGGTCATCAACACTCAAAGTTTTGGCCAATTCTAGCCTGTTTCGTGGACTATTACTTACTGTTTTGGGGTTCCGGAGTGATTTCCAAAATTAACGAACCCCGGGTGCGTTTACGTATCGGTCATCAACACTCACAGTTTTGGCCGATTCTGGTCGTTTTGTGGACTATTACTCACAATTTTGGGGTCCCAGAGTGATTTCCATTATTAACGAATCCCGAGGTGCATTTAGGTGTCAGTCATCAACACTCACAATTTTGGCCGATTCTGGCCCGTTTCATGGACTATTACTCACTATCTTGGGGTCCCGGAGTGATTTCCATGATTCACGAACCCCGGGGTGCGTTTACGTGTCATTCATCAACACTCACAGTTTTGGCCGATTCTGGCCCGTTTCGTGGATTATCACTATCCGTTTTGGCGTCACGAAGCGATATCCATGGGTGTCAAACCCCAAGGTGCGCTTATGTGTCAGTCATCAACACTCATAGTTTTGGCCGATTCTGTCCAGTTTCGTGGACTCTTACTCACTGTTTTTAGGTCCCGGAGTGATTTCGACGATTAATGAACCCCGAGGTGCGTTTACGTGTGGGTCATCAACACTTACAGCTTTGGCCAACTCTGGCCTATTTCGTAGACTATTACTCACTGTCTTGGGGTCCTGGAGTGATTTCCACGATTAACGAACCCCGGGGTGCATTTATGTGTCGGTCATCAACACTCACAGTTTTGGCCGATTCTGCCCAGTTTCGTGGACTCGTACTCACTGTTTTGGGGTCCCAGAGTGATTTCGACGATTAACGAACCCCGAGG